GGCCATTAAAGCAGTGACAGTGAGGGGCGGGGGTGGGAAGGCTAGGGTCGCGCGCGCGCACACACACACACACACACACGGGTATGGGGGGAGTCTGTAACATGATTTACTCTCAGCTGCACGTGTTAGTATGGAAAACTACAAGCTTCAGGAAGTGAGCGAGCTGTAACTCAGAGCTCAGGCGTCTTCACAAAGCAGCAGCACAGCATCCTCACCTGTGGAAGAAAGTCCCAGCTCACCGCACTGACCACTGATTAACTTCCACCGAGTCCTGCTCATGATGTTCAGAGCTCTGGGTGGGTTTTACTATCTGTATCTCACTGATCTCCCGAAGCAGTATAACCCATCTCGAGCCTCTCGCTCAGCTCAGACAGGGACTGTTAGTCTGCATGATTCGTCATCTGAAATTTCACTCCCATTCTTTTCCAAAGGGGAGGAGCAAAAAATGAAGTGAAGTGACTTGTGGCCAAGTGTGGTGACCCATACTCGGAATTTCTGCTCTGCATTTAACCCATCCAAGTGCACACACACAGTAGTGAACACACACACACACCCGGAGCAGTGGGCAGCCTTTTTTTTTTTTTTTTGCTGCGGTGCCCGGGGAGCAGTTGGGGGTTCGGTGCCTTGCTCAAGGGTCTCACCTCAGTCGTGGTATTGAGTGTGGAAGAGACGCTGGTCATTCACTCCCCCACCTACAATCCCTGCCACTCCTGAGACTCGAACCCATGACCTTCGGGTTCACCTTCAGGTTACAAGGCTGATACACTAACCCTTAGGCCATGACTGCCCCCATGTGTGAGGGATTGTGGGATGGTGAGCACCAAGAACTACTGTCACTCTATATGTACTGTCTATACTGTATATATACTGCCTACACTCTATATGTACTGCCTACAATCTATATGTACTGTCTATACTGTATATGTACTGCCTACACAATATATGTACTGTCTATACTGTATATATACTGCCTATACAATATATGTACTGTCTACACTCTATATGTACTGTCTATACTGTATATATACTGCCTACACTCTATATGTACCGTCTATACTGTATATGTACTGCCTACACAATATATGTACTGTCTATACTGTATATATACTGCCTACACTCTATATGTACCGTCTATACTGTATATATACTGCCTACACAATATATGTACTGTCTATACTGTATATATACTGCCTACACTCTATATGTACTGTCTATACTGTATATATACTGCTTACACTCTATATGTAC